CACAGATTTGATGGGGTGTCAGCAAGACACCCCAGAGAGCAGTGTGCCCACACAAATGTCCACTCACTGCACATGTAGGAAATAGAAGACAAGAGAATGAAAGGAAAAGAGAACAATTCTCCTGTAAAAGCTTTGTTTGCATCAAATGTTGCTCACAAGCTTGACCCAAACTCTTCTCCCCAAACGAGCTGCGAGTAACAGCACTGGTGGCATTGACCATATTGGTTTGGTGTTCTGGTCATGCTCTGAATCTTAACAGATCTGAATCTTAAAATCCCAGACCTGTGTCTGCATCGTGAGGTGCCTCAGCAGGCAGCTGTATACTTAGCTTTAATGAAGACTCAAAAAAAACCTAAAGGTTACTTTCCTTAATATTCATTATTCTCCCAGAATGGAGACTTGAAAGGCACAGGACCAGGCAGTGATTAATTATTAGGAAAAACCTAAAGGGATAACACCTAAATTTAAGTAATTTCATTAGTGTCTTCCTTTGGGACTAAATCTTTCTTATGCATTGTGTCAGCTGAGGAAAACTATGGAACCAGAAGTTTTCCTAGCAAAAATAATTTACCAGGTTTAAAGGATCGCTAGAATAGTAATTTTACTCATCTAATTGTATTTCTTGTCCAAAAGATTGCATAAATAGGAACAAAAATGAGAGTTTCATATAGACTGAAATACTGTTCACTCATCAAAAAATGCAATCAATATCTTTGGGGCAGTTCAGAGAGTGAACATATAATCATAAAATACAGGAACAGAATGTGTTAGCAGGGACTGAAAAAAACCAGAACAAATGACATGGCTTCAGCATGTAACCCAGGAAACAAAAATACCTCATTCAGCTGGCATTTTTCAAAGTGATATATGTCAATACTGTTGTTCCCTTGTAGGTTAACTATATCTATCAAAAATGGATATAGTCTAAGACTTGGTAGAACAGTCTCTCTTTACAGCTTGCTTTCTTGACAAAGTTCCATTTCTGTTACAGGAGGCCAGCAGTTAAAGAGAGTCAGATATCTCTAGCTTGCTATTGTCTGCCTGCCTTTGATTTTTATAAATTTTTACCTTGTATAATCAGAGCTTTCAACACTGAAAACATGCATTCCCTTTTGTTAACACTTTAAAATTTGAAAACTTAGCAGCAGGAGGTTAAATCAAAAATCGCTTGCCCTTATTATCTCATTCAGCGGAGGAAAAAGTAACAATAAAAAGCCTTTTGTTGGAGAAAGCAAGAGTTTTAGGCACCACAAACAGCACCAGCACAAGGGACTTTTAAACAACAGGCTGACAATTGCTGATCCTGAAAGGGGAAAAATGGCAGAAGTCTGAAGAAAAGGGATGCAACTGCTTCTTCTTTTCTGCTTGCAAAGAGAATTTGGAACATCAGAAAGCTTTGTAGCACTTTCCTTATGCATAAACACAACATCATGTGGGGGGGCTTTCTATTATAATGGATATGCATAGAGCTGGGCATGTGGCACAAGGCAGGGGCAGGACAGGGGTGCAGGGTGTGCCAAGGCCCGGGGTGGCACAGCCTGATTCCAGCCCTGCAGGAGGAAATCTCTGCCTTGCAGTGTGGTTGTTCTTACAGCCTAACTCTTGGTACAGTCCATTCGTGTGACAGGCGAGGGTGAGCACGTTGTACTTTAATTGTGCTTCTATCCTGCAGCTCCAGGAGTCCTCACGAGCTAAGTGAGACAAGGAGATTTTCAGTGTTAAATAACAGTCACAATACAATGTACTCAAGAGAATATTGTTCCTATCTTAACAAATTTCCTCTTTCACTTTGTACAGCTCAAGGATCAGCTTTTTCATGGAGGGATAAACTACATCAAATCTTCCTGGACTCTTCCCCTTTTTGATGTTGTGCCTATTCACAGTCATCCCAGTGTCCTCTAAGAACATTAAGTGCAATCTGTGGGTCCAGTGAGCTTTCTGAAGGAACTTTAAACCCAAAAAACAGTAGAGGGAAGAGGCTGTGAAGGACAAGCAGCATCACCCTTTACAGCTGGCAGCAGATGCAGCTGCCCAGCTCTGTGGTACCCCCAAACCCTCTGTTGGCTCCAACACCCAGCAAGTGGCTGGGTAAGACTCCAGGCTAAAAAGCCACCACTCAGCTTGGTGCTGTCATGTAACAAATCCAAGGCTTGTTAGCTTAATGCTGCCTTTGGTGTATCTCCACTCCATAACATTCACAGCAGCAACTGCAGTGCAAACTTACCCAGGGAGAGGCCAACAGATGTGGTGAGCTGTGCTCACAGCCAGAAGTGCAAAGTGTTTGATCAGCTGTGTGTAGATAATTAGTTCTATAATTTAAAAAGTTTCTGTTATTCCTTAACATCCACACTAAGCTGCAGCTACAGAAATTCTGCTCAAAATACCAACTGTCAGAAGAAATTTCCACTCCCCATAACTTTATTTTTAATTCAAGGAAGAACTGCAAACAAAAGAAATTTATAAGAATGCTCAGATGACTCACAGGCCAACCTTATATTATTTCTGTAAGTTTTAATTTTTGAAAAAAAGAAAAAGATTGATTCCCAAATATTATTCTAATAATTTGTTAAAAAGTAAAGTGCCAAATATTAAGTGAGGTGATCTTCCAAAACAAATAACTACATCTTTCTGTTGGAAAATTATTTAGACCACAACAGCTCTGAACTTGGATAGCAGCAAGCATGTAAAAGCCACATGGCTTGATCACACTTGCCTTATTTTTGCATAGCACAATTTAATTTTAATAGAATTAATTAATTCTAGCCTGCCTGTTCACTGGTCAGCTATGGGTGGACTAGCTCTATGTTCTGTTTTTCTGTTTGAAATCAATGAATATCCAGAGGACAACTTTCTCCCAGCTCACTCCATCTCAGAGAGAATTTTGTGTATGAGAAAAAAAGAATTCCCGTTAAAACTCAAACTGTGGTTCCAGCTGGAAAAGAACCTGTAAGAACAGCACCTTTTCTTGTGCCCTATGTCAAAACTCACCTTATCCTGCTGAGTATTATGACAGAAATTATTTTGATTCTTCTCAGCTCCTGAGAGCCAAGTCAGAGGTAAGAGGGGAATGTAACTTGCCTCCTTTGTATTGGCATCCTAAAAGTTGTTAAATAAGTTTTAGTCTTGGGCAGGTGTGTTACCCTGATTTTTAAAAGTTTTAAGTTTTCTTTTATAGTTCTTTTGAAAATATTAAAGTTCTCATAAAACTTCTTTAACCTTCTGAAAATGTTTACATTTTACATATATGTAATGTTTACATAAATTTCATGTGTAAATAGAATAGTTTACATATTTCTCTGTAGGTGGAGAGAAATGGTTGATTGATCTTTAGAACAGTGTGGTTTGAGAGGTGGTAATTCCATCCTCCAATCCACAGTCACCCTTAGAATTCTATAAATACCAGATGTCTGCATAAAACTGGGTCCTTTTCTCTTTTGAACTTACCAAGATTCTGTGCACTCATTTCATGTCCAATAGCAACACAGGTGCATTAAAATCTCAAGGTATTGAGGCATTGATTAGGCCCTAATTTGGCATTGAATCTTCATCTTTATTGTCAGTGCTGTTAGAAAAATATGCATTTTGACATCCAGAGCACAGGCTGGAATTTGGAAAAGGAACAAAACATATTTCTAATAATGAACTTAAAAGGTTTTACACAGGGTCCTTGAGTGACAAACACAAAACTTTATAAATATCATATTTATGGCCATTCACTAGAGCAGAACAACAATGTTAAAAACTTGCTTTTCTGATATTTTACATTTCTGAGTCCTTCATAGCTTTGCTGTACAAAAGCCTGAAAATGTTTGAAAGAGGCCTCTGATATTTCTCTACATCCTATTGGTTATGTTACTACTGTCTTCTTTTTTATTTCTCCAGAGCTTATAAATTAAAATATGCATCTCTTTGGGGAATATATGAAAAAAAAAATATTAAAGCACTGCCCAGTGCAGTGTATCTGTAATTTAATCAACATTTACCCATTGTACTAGTTCTCAATACCCACAGCCAGATAAGGACTTTTGTTATTTTCAATGCATGAAAATGCACCAGTGCCTGGCTTTAAAAAAGAGGCAGTATTGAATTTCTTCTGAATTGCACCACTTAGGGTCTAGCACAAAACCTGGTGATATGAATCCACAATTCTGTGCATTTATGTGGAAGAGAACTTTAAAAGAAGTCATATTATCAACTCATTTGTGCAAATGGGAATGGTGTTTTCCAAGACAACAGAACAAAGTGCTATAGAGCAGAGTTCATGCTACAGGTGAGAAATGGCCACTGAGGGCTCTGGGGTTATCTGCTCACCCTCTCCATGGTAATTTGGGTGGACCTGGTCATTTGCAGAACCATGACTGATCTCAGTCATGTAAAATGATGATCAGGAGGTTTGCTCAAATATAAAGGGGTTAGACTTGATCAATCATCATCACTGCTGCTCTGTCCTTCATCATTCTTACTTTAGATAAAGTTTATATATATACTTTATACTTTAGATAAAGTTTATACCTTTGCTATAACCTGCCATTCACCTCTCTGATGTGAATGGAACTCCTTGCTAAAGGAAGTCAGTAGGTTTGGGGCTGATTTAAGGTGTGAACACCAGACACCAATGTAGTAGTGCTCTCCTTCAGTTTTGGAGAGAGGGGTGGCTGTAGATACAGAAAAACCTGGAGGTTAATGTAAAAATTAACTTGGAATTTAAAGGGGATAAAAAAATTACGGGCTGATTTTCTCTCAATGAGGAAAAGGATGCTCTGTGGAGCATGTGATTGCTTTGTGCTGCCAAGTAACCTGCAGAGACACTTCAGAAGCAGGGGATTAACAGTGCTGTTTGTTTTGTGCTTCTTGATAGATTACCTATGATAAGGACCTTGAGATTCAGATTTGGAAGGCTTACTTCAAAAGTTTCCATTGTATATACAGTGCCCTACGTGTATAGAGCAAAACATACATTCAGCCTCAATACCCTTGTTTAATAATGTAGAATGTTCCTGTTCATTTTGTATTGGTCTCTTTATTAAGACATCAGGTGTCTTTGTTACAGAAATATAATAAATGAACTTTTGCCTTCAAACTACCCTCATACAGAGCAGGTTTTGCTGTAAGGGAGATGCATTGGAGTGGCTGCTGTGTCAGCAATGCTCCTTCATCACATTGTGCTGTGCCACTACAGAGAAGTGCGACCACAGAGAGTTCCTTCCCATTCTTCCACAAAGTACTGTTAGTCTGTGAGGGAAAGGATATTCCAAAATAACCCAAGGAAAATGATTTTCAAAGCAAATCCACAATACTTTTTTTTCTCAATATGTAGGCAGAAATATTAGCAATAGCAAATCCTTTCCTTACTACAATTCTTGAACTGCACTCCGGCAACTTTTTATTTACAACACTTGAAAGCAGGCACCAGTCTTCAGCAACTGGTGTGCAGTTAAATGCCCTTCTTTGCATCTGCAAAATGCATATGAAAGTTTAATAAACATATCAGATGACAGAGTTTTTAAGGCTTTAACCTTGTTGCCAACTAATAGTAGTTCTCTTACCTAATGTTCATGAGTGCTCAGAAGGATTACTGTTTTTAAATCATTAATGACACCCCAAGGCGACTGCAGCAGCCACCCTATATTTTAATATAAATGTTTTAAGGAACCTAAGCACAGTCAAGCTCTCTTAAAACCAAAAGATTGACTTCATTTGAACTTAAACATATGCTTAGAGCTATGCATACATTGAAGTGTTCTGCTGAGTGGCATTTTTCTTCAAAGAACAGCCCTGTTAATTTCAATAAGACAATTTATATGATCATGTTCTTTTTGTCTTGAAGTATAAATTTACAATTCATCAGTCACAAGCCCAAACCTATGAAATATCATTATAATGAACTTATTCAATAAAGTTCACCTTTACTCACTTCTAAATCTGACAATATATCTGGAAGCAATCTCAAGAGCATGGGATTGCAATAGTAAAGGGCACTGAGTGTGGAATTTTAGAAGCCACAAGCATAAACCTCTTTTTTTTCCTTTTTGTTGGCCAGGGCATTTAAAGAAAGTCTTGATGCCACTTCAAATAAGCTTTTACATCCAAACAAAGGCACTTGTGTGTAACACATCAATGTTTGTTGCAACTCAAACAATGGACAGGAAAAATCTAGAAATGCTGAAGCACTTTTCAGCCTTTTCATAAAACACAAAAAGCAAGATGTGTATCAAAGATTATCTTAATTACACTTAAAAGACAATTTAAAAAATATTAAACAATCCATACAACACCTTTTGATTAAGCAAAGACTTTCATTTTCCCTGTGAGTGAAAGCAGCTGTTTATTCTCAATCTCTGCTGCAAGATCCTTTGAAAGGGCACTACCTTTGCCAAATGTCCATTTTGGGATCAGGAATGTTGTTCCTGATCAAAAGAGCAACTGAAGCTTACCAGAGAGAGGTTTCAGGGAATCCATCATGTGGTTTGCAGGAGCCTGAAGCACACACAGAAACCAAAATTACTGGAGCAGCCAGCCAGGGCTGCAGAGCTGCAGCAGGGACACATGAGGGACCAGAAAGAAGAAGCATCATCTTCTGCAGCTCAGAAAGGCACTTACCTGCTTTGTATGGATGCAAAGAATCACCTAAAGTATGGTGGAAATGCAAAGGAAGAGTTGTTATTAATATTTCATCTGGTGTAGTCACCTTCAGGTTTATTTGCGTATCAAGTGAGCATGTCTCCTGAAATGAAACAGCAAAAATTGTCTACATTGAGTTGCAGCTCAGAGCTTACACTGCACCAAAACCTGAGGGGTGCACACTGGACATGGGGAGAGGGTGGGGACTGTGTGCATCCCCTAGAGAAGGGGTAGGTCCTCTGCAGCACAACTCAGAGCAGATCTAAAAAACAATGGACATTCACCATGCTGAATTTTCTGCTATACAAAAAAAAAAAAAAATAAATTAAGAAAACAACAAAGTGAAGGCAAGGAGAAATCCACCTTTTCTCCTGGATTTCAGGCTGAATAAAGTACCTCTTATCCTTTCTGTTCATTCTCCTTAATTAGAAAAGGGAAAATATTGTTTTTCCCTTTCAGTGAAAAAAATTCCTCGTTTCCTACTTTGTGGCCCAGCCTTCAGTGGTTCTTGGTAATAGCTGAGATTTGGATAGACATCTGGAAGGCTTGGAGGGAATCAGGTGATTTTAGAAACCAGAGACAGAGTGAGAGGGAGGGGAGACAGATGGGTGTGGGCTGTGGGCAGAACCTCTTTAAGCAGCACAGATGCTCCAGAAGAAAATGTATGTCTGCAGCCTTACACCCAGTTGTGGGCAGTCAGATCAGGCATGAATGGGAAATATTTGTAGTAGGGGTGGAAGGAGAAATCAAGTGTATGGGCATCTGAATCTCTCAAATTCTTTCAGCAGTCCTTGGCTAAATTCTGCCCTCACTGCCATGGGGTCACATCTGTAAATTCAGATTCACATCTGTAGAGTCACAAGACCACCCAAACCATCTGTATGCTGCAGTGACATTGCCTGTGACTGATTTGAGCTTTTCAAAGGGGTTCAGGCACTTGATTTGTTTGAAAATATAGGTACTGGTCCTCTAAGTAGCTCTGCCAGAGATTTCCAGGGTGATAGGTTTTCATCTATGGTTTCACAGCTATTATAACACAGAGCTGCTCTTATGGGTCTGGGAAAAAGTTTTCTTGGTTTATATTTAAATAATGGCAATACCTGTAAAATTGATTCTTATAATGTTAAGAAGTTTATTCATCCAGGATAATATATCACATACTGTTAACCTCCAGTGAGATTAAAGGAGAGAAAGATGTGGTGGTGGTTAAACAGCAAGAACCTCAGCAGTTTTCAGATACTTTTCTCCTGCTAAAAGTGATATTGCTACTCATCCTCTCAAGCTGTAGTGAGTTAAAAGGTAGAAGAGAGCAGAGAAGAAGTTCTTAGGTCAAAATATTACCAAGTAGCTAAGCAGAGAAAAGAAGAGAAAAGGAAGTCTCAAGAAAACTCAGAACACGGAACAAAGGCCTAGTAAAATACAAGCCTGATGCTAAAAAAGGACACTGTATCATGTTTTCATTGCCCTTTCTGCAACATTCCCTATTTTTCATTGAAAAAATGAGGAAAAGAATGCTTTGCTATTGCATCTACCAGCAGTGCTTGCAATATTCATTTACTTGTCCTGGCACTGGGAGAAAGAGAAATGAATTAAAGTGCTGGTTGGAAAGGAGGGGTAGGAATATCTGAGTGAGTATTGTGCTTTGCTAGAAGCAGAGAGCTGTTCATATTGCATTTTGGGTTTGTAGTTTGGAATAATTGGCAGGATGCTCAGAGCATTATTTCTATTTATTTCTAGTTTCTTCTAGTCTGGTCTAATAAATAAAGTAGGAAATGCACTCAGCCTTTGGGTCCTTAGACTGGCTTTGGTTTTCTTACTTATGTACTACCTGCAGCCTTAAATATTTGCTTGGTTTGGGTATGTAATGAGTTGCTTGTTTCATTGCTGGCTGTAAGCATGACATCATGCCTTATATAGAGAAATCTCCTTTAATTTCAACATGCTTCAGTGACTATATTCAGGCTATTGTGTGGCATAATCATCTCTTATTACCACACACTGCACTTCAGAACTGGCAAAGAAGTGCCCTTTAAACTGAAATCAAATTCTTCTTCAACTGTTTGCAAGGTCTGAGGCAAGGCTGCTTTTAGCCTGATTTTCCTTCTCAAGACTGCCTCTCTTGCTATGAGTATCACTCAGTTGAACAGCTCTATTCTCAGGCTTCACAGAAAGGCCTGCAGGAGCATCTGGGCAGGACTCAGCACCGTGTGCCTCTGAGACAAGGAGTGAAAAATGTCACGGGCTGCATCCCAGACTGCTGACAGAGCAGGCAGCAGCAGGGGAAGGCAACCAGGAGCAATTCAGGAATGGATACAGTCCCCAGAGTGATGTATTCTGAAGTTAGACAGAAAGGAAAAAGCCATCAGGAAATGTGTTTGCTAACACTATTCCAACTCCTCATGAGAAAAGGAAATCTCTCCTTTAATTTCTAGCAGTGGGAAGTGTTATCCCCGTTTGGTTGTCAGAGTCTATTGAGAGCACTGCTTGCTAAATGCCTTATCTAAATTGCTCAAGGTGCTTTTTGAAGCTGATATGACTGCCCCCATTAAAAGGACTGCTGAACTGAAGTCCAGAGATGTACCTCTTGTAAGCTTGCAGACCCTGGGAGACCTGCACAAACCAACTTCTGTAAGTGATCCTGTTGTGTCTGTGCGAGTTCTGGTCTGAGAGCGGATTTGGGCAAACTCCTCCATGAGATTGTTATGATCCCAGCACAGGAAAGTTGAAGATGTCTGTGTTTATCTCAGGTTTGAAACCTGAAGGAGGCTGGACTTGAGTTTACTGGTGTTCCTTCCAGACAGACCATGAGAATGAATAAAGCTGAGATCCTTCTTGAGGGAGCCAACCTTCAATGAGGATGGACAAGTCTGGCCTTGAGAGTGGGGTTGAACCTTGTATAGACAGCTAATAAAGGACCTCAAAAAAATGTTCCCTTAGAAGGAGAAAAAAAGCCTTTTTAATTAGATTTGTCCTATATAAAACATAGGCCTGCCTTTCAAGGCACAGAATTTCATGGGCAGACAGAAGAGTGACCACGGAAGCCGACATTTCCATTAGATGGAGAAATAGCACATTATGCTGCTCCAGTTTAGTCTACAGCTCCTGAATTTTCTCTCTTTAAATGGCTGTATAAATCTAGTGGCAAAAGCAGGCAGTTTGTCAATGAATGACTAACACCAGAGCAGTGCACTGTCTCACCATCCTCTGGCAGCTATTACACCTGAGCAGTATTTTCTGGGAAAAACTTGCAAATATGTGTAGGCTGCAGCTTTCAAAATAGACTAAGGGAAGCTTTACCCTTTCATTTCTAAACTGACAAAGTAACTTTCAACACAGCTTTTTTCAAAGGTTAATGGTTTTAATTTAGAAAAATTCTCTATGTTGTAACTCAGTGTCAGTCACACAACTAAAAAGTTTGTCTGAATTCCTGGAATGCACTATTGCTTCCTGCTCAGGAAGAACTTCTGGAAGTATCATGGAAGTGAACAAGCTCAGGCTAAACAGCCCATTTTTTTAGGCTGCTTGCATGATCCAAAAAACATTGCTATGTGACTACCCTGAAGTAAGTTTTCTTCCCAATTTTAATGCTACAACTTAAAAAAAAATGTAAAAATAAACACTTTAAGCTTTTGTTTTATATATTTCCCACCCTCACAGACCATATGACAGAAGATATTTCTCATCACAGGAGGTCATGATAACTTCTCTGGAAATCAAACAACAAAATGTGTCCATCTGGAAGATTAGAGGGTAAAGAGGGTTTTTTTCAACTATGCATAATCCCATATCCAGCTTTGGTTTCACAAATGAACTAGAGGCCCTAAATATTTTTTCACTAATAAGAAAGGAAGGCAGGGGTCCCAAAAATGATTGTTCTCAGCAGTGTTTTTCTGAGATACCCAAAGCAGCCTCAGGTTAGTGGTGTGATCAACTTTTGTCACACAGCACAGAAGAACCATTTTGGTTGTGGAAAGGAAAGAACTGAAGGAAATCTTTGCCCAAACTGGCTTGCAGCCCTTGTCCTGAGGTTTTAAACAATTCTGAGAGCAGCAGGTTGGTTCTCAGCAGCACAGACGTTCCTCACTCTGTACAGAGAGCTGACTCCCTGCTGCATTGTTGAAGATAAATTACAATACAGCAGTTATTACCAGGGAGACTGTGCATTGAATACAGCACTCTATAAAGACCTGGCACTTTAGCAGAAGAACAGATATTTGAAAGCAATATCAGCTTAATTTCCCTTTATTCTCCATG